CTTCACCTGTGTTACTATGGCTGACTCCTCAGTGAACAAATCTGGAGTATCTTAACAACCAATAACTTTCCAGCTAGATGTTGCTTTGTTTTGTTAAACTGGAGTACCTCTTTGGATATATGAAGAATAACGTTGGTCAGTAAATGGTGTTTGTCATGCTCTCCAATATCCAGGTCTAGGCCCTAGACTAAAAGGAAAATTCTTTTCTTGCACCAAACAGGTCTGTGTCATTCAGTATAATGCAGCATCAGGGTGGAAAGAGCAGTGAATGGTGAACTGAGAGACCCAAGTGCAATTCCTGGCTTTGCCATGATTAATGAACTGTATGATTTATGTGAGTTAATTTCTCTGAATGAGGAAAGTGAACTGTGATCTTGAAGCTCCCATTCATTCTGAGTTTGATTCTAAGGTCAAACTGTGGTTACCAAGGGGATGACTAGGGTAGCAGACACTTGGCATATGAGGAACAAGAAGCAGTGAACTGGCAGAGGTGCCTTCCCAGGCTGGCAGATGTGCTCTGGAGAATGGCACTATAGGAGCATGCCCCGCTTGGTCAGGTGATGCAATGATACCCCTTAGTTCTCATCCTGCATGAACCTTGCCTACATGGGCATCCCAGGACAAGTTGACATTCCAGGTGTCTCTGAAGTGCAGAGTTGAGGGGTACTTCCCAGCCTCAGGAGTTACAGCTCAACACTGACCCCTAGGCAGGATGCTGAAACAGTAGCTGCTTCTCCATCCTGAGCCAGAGGGAAGGGACATGATCAGGTGTGTTAGCTTTCAGTATGAAAGGGTAAATGAGACCTGTTTCCTTAATCATGCGTCCCCCACAGACTCTCTGGTTGTTGGCCCAGCTATGTTCTGAGCTTTGCCAAAGTCGTTTCTACATAAGCAGCGTGATCTACACCAGTGCTTTCCAGCTTTCATATGCACATGAATCAGCTGGGGATCTTGTTAAAAGACAATTCCAATTCAGTAGTTCTGGGGTGGGGCCTGAGATTCTGAATTCCAGGCAAGCTCCCTGGTCCACAAACAAGACTCTGAGTAGCAAAGATGCAGAGAAAAGGACTGGGAGCTGAGTCATGTGACTCACCATTTGTAGGATGCTAAAAAAAATCATTCTGAGCCTCAATTTTCCGCCTTTTAGTGATAATATATAGTGCCCATTCTATTCATTTCAAGGCACTACTGAAAGGGCTAAGTGAGTCAACCTAATAAGTGTGCAAATGTAACAGTGTGAATGTTTTCTACTGTTCCAAGCAACTGCCAGACCATCTAACTCTAGTGTGTACTGGAGCCCCAAGAAGAGCAAGTTAAAACTGCATGCCTCCCAGGACCACCAGATTCTCCAATTAATAGACCTGGGGGTGAGGGACTGGGGCTAGGAGCATGCACTTTAACAAGACACCAAGGCAATTCAGTGCTGTCAGTTCTCGAACCACACATTGAGAAACTGTATGCCAAGTGATAAGAATGCTCTGCTCTCCAGATAGTGTGAAAATTGAAGATAATAAGGTACAGCAGAGAGCTTCTTGTAGCTGATCACAGATTCGGGACTCTCAGCTCCCCATAAATTGGTATTGTTCAAACTTTAATAAGCACAGAATTCACCCAGTGGATCTTGTTAAAATATAGATTCTGATTCGACCAGTCTGAGATAAGGCATGAGATTCTGCATTTCTAACAAGCTCCCAGGCAGATGATGCTGACGCTGCTGGTCCAGGGACCACCCTTTGAGTAGCAAGAACCAATGTCAATAGTTCTCAGCCCAAGCTGCATATTGAAGCTGTCTTTTAAATATCATGGACATTCAAAACTTTAATTTTTTAAAACTGATTTGGGGCGGAGCTCAGGCATTTTTATTTATTTATTATATTGCATTTTAGGTTTGGGGGTACATGTGAAGAACATGCAAGATTGTTGCATAGGTACACACGTGGCAGTGTGATTTGCTGCATTCCTCCCCATCACCTACATCTGGCATCTCTCCCCTTGCTATCTCTCCCCAACTCCCCACACCCCACCGTCCCTCCTCTATTTCCCCTCAACTGATCCCAGTGCGTAGTGCTCCCCTCCCTGTGTCCATGTGTTCTCATTGTTCAACACCC